TAACATTAGGACAATTTTGAACTGTCAAATAGTATGTACGAAGACAAAATCTACAACAAATATTGATTTAGACTCTCGATGTTTATAATTGCACTATGGCTCACAAATATGTCAAAATAGACCTATTTAGACTCTTGATGGTTATATTTAGTGATGAATGTATTGGACAAGCAGCCATCAATTACTTAAGTCTCAAAGATCTAAGAACATACATAGTGAAAGGATATAACAGAAATTGAGGAAAGCACCATACAGCAAAGAGCAACCAGTCAAATGCCATAACCAGATGCCATATACTCACTCATGATCGAAGATGCTTTTGGGAAGTCCAATTTCAGATTGAGAATAGAAGCGAGTTCTTCGATGTATTTCATATACATCAGCATTTCTTTTCTGTTCATCTCCCTCTTTTTCACCTGATGTCAGATGAGTACATATAAAACAAAATAGTGTCTGATGTATGGACATGCTGACAGATATTGACCCCTGGAAAATTGAAATCATGTCATACTTTCTGAAAGATAATTTTTTTCCTTTACATGAAAAACAAAAGAGTACATAAGGCAGCTCAAAATAAAATTTAATGACTTGCTGCATTGATTACTACACAAATGAAGAATATTGATTATGAGGCATTGGAAGCAAGAAGTCACCATTTCATTGTCCACCAAGAAGCACCAATATAAACGAATTATCTCTCATCTAACATTGTGTGAGATAAATAAATGAAAAAAATAACTTCTGTGAACATAACTCCTGAAAATCAAATTAGATAAGAGTCTTTTATTAAAGAAAATTCAATAATTTCAGCTCCCATTTTTGGCAAAAAGAGAATTTACCTACGCAGAATACCTACAGAAGAATGCTAGATAATCTTCGGCTGACTTCTATGATCATTGAGTTATTTAAAACTCAAATTGTCCAGTGTGGCCTTTATATGGGATATAAATTTTTTAGTCTTGAGTGTAATAGATATAGCACTATTAATATTTGTAGGATATGTAAGCCTGACGAAAAACAAAACTCATGAACAATTATATAATCAGCT